AATACCTCCATAAAAAAACATGCTTACTATAAGGCCAATATGCTATACTGTTTATTTATCATTAATGTCCCATAAAAATAGTGATAAAATGGCCATAAATCCATTCATAATGTTTACCAAAATTAAAGAGAAATTAAGCCATGGAAATGATAGGTAATTTCGTAATTTTAATGACTATACAAGAATGTTTTTCAAGTGTCTCAAGCCGCTCCTTTTGGTGGCAAGACGTCCCCGACCGCATAATTTGCGGCAATGCCCGGAGGAAATGTCGCCGCTAAAGTTGCGGCTGTGTTGCTTCGAAGTTTCCCATCCTTGTGCGGCATAAGGCAAGGCAAAACCACACACACACACACAAGCATACTTATAGAAACTTGCCTTCAGAGTCGTTCGGCATAAAAATGTATCATCTTTTCAGTCAGACGGGAGACATTCGAGGGGCTGTCCTCGCTCTTAAAATTAACTTAAAGACCTTTAAAGCAGTGCGCTCTTAATGTTGTTAAGTCAAAGTTGATTTTCTTGGCTTAACCAGGTTCTTCTTGTTGTCTCCTTTTCCTTTGTATATTATTATCTCTTTTTTCCAAGCGACGATTTTTAACCACATCAATCGACTGACAGAGCTTCACTCTTAAACGAACTCAACGGAATATTGAATTTATAAATCCCCCATGATATGGCGTAAATTTGCTTTCACTGACAAATCTATTCGCAGTTGCCCTGCCCTTGATGAAGTCACACAAAAAACCGTATTTTTATATTGACACATCAGCGTAAACAAATTAACTTTAACGCCCTGCAGTTGCAACCATTGGATGGCCGTAAAAAATGCGAAAAATCCATGACAGCTGAATGAACTGAAGCGGATGCATGGACCGACCAGCTCATTTTAAAAGCCATAAGCTAAATGCCCTCCGGATTTAAATATTGTTATTATATGGAAAAATTGATATATTTAATTAAAATTGTTATTAAACACTTGGTTAAATCTTAAAATGATTAATAAAATAAATTAATGATAAATATTAAACGATATTGCCATATTAAATGAATTAACTTAGTGCTTTTGGTAAATATTTATGTTTGGTAAACTAAATTAACAAGTTTAGTTAAGAGAGAAATATGTACATAAAAAACATATTTTAACTTAGTAATATTCTTTAATATAAAATCCAATTCAAATATCATGTAAACTGTATAAACTCTAAAATAGGGTGTAGAATTATATAATTTTAAATAAACTTGAATGAAAGTTTGCACATTAAATACTTCGCCTTGAATCCCATTACATTTTCCTTAGAATGAATCCTTAAAAAATCCATTAACAGCCTGCAAAATGGATCAAAATGCAGTCTGCAAATAGTATAATTCCAGGGGCGAAATAAAAATTATGGCTGCAATGCATTACAGATGTCCCACCGAATGGCATTTCAGCTGGACGAAGGCATATTGATAAAAAAAAAAAAAAACATAAAATTGTCAGCGGGACAGGAAAAGTGTCCGAAAAACCGAAATGAAAACGCTGGCAATAAGGGAAATCGTAAATGCTGGAAAAATGGCCGGTGGTCCACTGCATTCGAGCCATTTCCCTGCGGTGGTGCGGTGGATTCGGTGGTACAATGATGATGAGGTTGAGAGGTGATGATGGCGCTGTTTTTTCTGTTGACAGTACACAAAACCCAGTTTGCTCTTCGAATCAGTTTTCTTTTTTTTTTTTTTTTTGCTTTGCAAATTTACAACTGCAATCAGGGAGTGTGGAAAATGGCCGAAAGCGATTCGCAATTCGCGCTTAAAACAATTGAAATTGTTTTCGATTCCATTCAAAATAAACACAAATAGCAGCTGCATTTAAAAGGCGGCTTAAAGTGTGCGGTCAAACATCAGAGCGTAAATCAAACGATTTAAACAAATTCAGGCCGAGAGTTTCATTGTCAAGTGCAGGAAAACTAAACGCCCCAAACCCACTCTGTGTAATTATCTTTTTGCAGTTATGAACACAACGCTTCTCGTTCTATGTTGCACCTCCGAGAAAAAAACGATTCGTTTTTCGGCTTTGGAGTTCTTCAACAGAAACCCCCCTCCCCACGAAACTTTTTTTGATTACTCTTTTGGATAGCTGCAATTTGCAAGTGGCAAACAGTTGTTACCATTTTTTTTATCCTATTTTTTGCTTGCCTCAGTTTTTCTGTCTGGTTTGCTGCAAGCACACGTAATTAAAAATTCATCATACGCCACGTTGACTGCGACCAACACGAACAAAAAACAAAAAAAAAAGGCAAAAAGAAGATAAAGCAAGGGCCAAAAACACGCCGTGTGGCAGGAACTAAATGAACTTCAAACTTTTTACAGCAAAACTAATTGGAAAACAATTAAGGTTTACCAACTTTCAAAGGCTTTCCTAGACAAATGAAAACGGACCAGCCAGCTATATATTGAGCCGGCGCAATGAAGAGGCTACAGGTTTATATTACAATATTTATAATCAAAATCTACAACATCGCGTGTTATATATATATATATTTTTTTTTGTTGTAAACGTTGCGCCAGAACTTTTAACTTGCTACTTTTTGCCAGTTCTTCCTTTTTTTTCCTTCTCCGTTGTCTTGTTAAACTTGGCCTTTTCCTTTCCACTTGCCACCGCTGAGCAAACAAAACTATGGGAATTTGCTTCAGGATTCTGGAAAACAGGAGTACCAGCGTGGTCAGGTAATTGAAAAACTTTCAATGCTTGGGCTTTTGGGCTTAGCAGGCCGAAAGTTTTCGATTCGAAGTTTCGCTTGTTACTACAAACGGTAAATACGCCAAAAAGCAAGGCTATACCGTTGGCTTAATCAATTGACGATTTAAATTGGACCAACAAGTCGAAAACTCCACTTCGAACTAGGCCAAAATGCTCTGCTCAATGCGCATCAATTGGCTTTGTCGCAGTTTCTGGACAGTTCCTGCAATGGCAGTTCGCCAGCTTCCGGTTCGCCCCCGCATGCATGGCATATTCTTGCTGCACGTCGCGTGCGTGCTGTCAAAAAAGAAGAAAGAAAAAAATATGAAACGGAAATGCACAAATCATGGTGGCGCGCGTTCGCCATTGTTGTTGGCGCACTCAAAACGGAAATACGAACGAAACATATGTGTGAATATGTGTGGACTCCGAAAAGGGTCGCCAATTGTGACATCGAAGGCGGGGCAAAAATATGGATATGGTTGGCATACGCTACCCCTCTGGCATAATTAATTTGGTCCGGGATTTTTGGGAGACGATGGTCGGCATAAGGGATGCATCAGAAACGCCTCAAGAAAGTTATTATAATGGAAATGTTTTAAGCAGTTCTTGGATGCGTTGTTCTTTTTAGAGCCAATTTATTAGTTATTAAAAAATTAAAGAATTTTAAACTTTATTTAGGTATAAGTTGTTACCAAATGTTCCTTTAATCCCAAAGATTTCCCTACCCTTAATAGGAAAATGGTACTTTAAAAACACCTGCATCATAATAGTGCGTGCTAATCCCTCGCCTGGATCCTTGGATATCACACATTTTTTTCCTTAGAAACCGCTCCGTTTCCATGAGTTTAGAGCAATTTTTCCGCAGTAGAGGGAAGATTGGACGTCAAGTCAAACAAAAAACTATGGCAGGCAAACAGAAAGCGCAACCCAAGCGAAATCCACTACTGACACACATGCAAACGAATGGCTTTGTGGGGACTCCGGGGAGGATGCCGGATGTTGGATGCTAGAAGCTGGATGTGGTGTTTTTCCAAGAAGATAAGAAGGGGGGGAGGGAAATATATGTTTACACATGTTATGGCTAGAATGGCTTCAGTTTCCACTGCTCCAGTGGCTGTCAGCAACTCTTGGGCACGTTCGCTGCAATTGAAACTTAAACTTTTTCCGCAGAATGCAAAATTGTTGCAGCAATAACAAATGGCGGCAGCTAAGAAAATAAATAAAGAGTGGAATCATGCCACACAGTACAATGCAAGTTGAACAAAAGTTTCGGTGCAAATGCATGAATGTATGGATTTTTCTGTGCAACTTTTAACGGAAGCGGAAACGCGTGTAGCGCCATTGCAATGGCCGCTTTGTTTGCCAATATTTGACTCAAAATAAAACGCGTGCGAAAAACAGTACACTGAGAGAATGGTATCATATTTGGACTGAAAAAGTATATCATTTTTTTTATCTATTTTTTATTTTTTAGGGATATTAATATTTATGTTTTAACGAATTTTATTAAAGAAACGTTCTAATGAAAACACTTTAAACCATTTATAAAAGCAACCGAAACTTTTCAAAGTGTAATCCCCAAAAATATAGCAATCATGATGGGGAATTTTTTCGCGGTTTTTCCATCAGCACGAGAATAGTGTGAACAAGCGTCGAAGGAAGCCCCGGATCCATCGAGAATCGAGCCATGGGGCCGGCATGGCACTTCCCCCCACGGGATATTGCCCGTCTCTGAATAGGTGCGAGGACAATCGACCTCCGACGTGGCCTAAATGCAATTCAATAGTTAACTTTCTACCCCATTGTGGCAGCCGGAACAATGCAGATTTATGCGCTTATCTATGTGGCGGTTCAACGACATTCGAGCGGGGATGAAGATGTAGATAGAAGTTATAGATATAGAAGCTATATAGAAGTGGAGTTGTGGACTGTACGAAAACATAATTAAAGTGCCAGCGAAAGATGGCCGCCAGGCAATTAACCGCATTGCCAGCTCCGCTCCGCTTTGCCATCCACGCTCACTCCATCCCAAAAACTTTGGACAACAATGGTGCTGCCGCTGTTGAAGCTGAAGCCAGAAGCCAATGGCAATCATAAAGTCAGTTGGAGCACGGAAATTGCAAGCTGCGGTTTAAAAGGTGGCACGCTCTGGCCATAACTCAGCACCCAGCTCCCCAACTTCTAACTCCCGATCCCGGACACGTGGCCATACCATATAGCTTTGCTGTCTTGGCCCCAAAAACTATGCAGCACCAGCTAAACGGAAATTGCAAACTGCGGCTCCTTGTGCTCACTCTTTCAACCATTTTTATTTATTTTCATTTTACAAGCACCTTGGGAAAACTGGCCACTGAAAACGCTCTCTTTGTAATTATACATATTTAATGCACTTTGTAATACGGATATATATTTTGCTTTTATTCTTTTTTTTTTTGGGTGACTGCTCTATTGGCGCAAGTTGTGGTTGAAGTGTAGGTTATGGGGATAGGAGACCTTGGGCTTATCATTCTCAGCAGTTTCCAGTTCGATTTCCTGGGAATGATTCAGCTGATGATCGGCAGACACTTCAAAGTCATTGTGCTGGGGCTTGTGCTCTACTGGCTTAACTCCCAAAGCAACCAAATGTCCCTGGGCAGGATTCTGCTGGTGATGCTTGTTGCCCTCATTCTCCCACCCCTGGTGTGGCTTCTGCTCTACCTGCTTGATTTCTAACTCCACCTGATGATTGGGAGAAGAATGGATTGGCTGCTGCTTGATCTCAAGCTCCAAGTGCTGAGGCTGGTTGTACTCCACTGGCCTTTCACCCAAAACAACCAAATGTCCCTGGGCAGAGTTTTGATGGTGCTGCTGCTGGTGGACCTCAAATTCCAGACGCTGAGGTGGCTTCTGCTCGACAGGCTTGATTTCCAGCTCAACCTGATGATTCGGAGAAGAGTGCTGCTGTTTAATCTCAACCTCCAAGTGCTGGGGCTGGTTGTGCTCAACGGGTTTCACTTCCAAATTAACCAAGTGTCCCTGGGCAGAGTTCTGATGGTGCTGTTGCTGGGCCTCAAATTCCAATCGTTGAGGTGGCTTCTGCTCTACATGTTTGATTTCAAGCTCAACCTGATGACTTGGATTGGAATTCTGGTGCTGTTGGTGAAGCTCAGCCTCCAAATGGTGAAGCTGTTTCTGCTCCTCGCGTTGCAGTTCCAAATCAACCTGGTTGTTTGACAAGAAGTTCTGATGCTGTGACTGGAATTCCCACTCCAAGTGCTGTGGCTTCTGGCCCGCTGGTCTCACCTCCGCAAAAATATGTGCATACTGGTCATCATGGTCATGAACTGGCTTCTGCGTCAACCTTAGTGGCGGAGCCGCCAAGACCGTACCGATCAATGCCAGAACAATAGCTGCCTTCATCTTGACTTGTTTACAATAGACTGTGAATCTAGATATTCTACCCTTCTACTTAAATACCCGAATTGAAGTGCTTGCAACGCCGATATTTTGCAGCTAATTAGGTGTCAATAACATGTTATCAGAGCACGTAAAACAGAAGCCTAGGGAGAACCCCAAAAGCACACCTAATTGCTAAAGATTAGATACCGACATTCAGATAAATCAGGCGAGACGAGACCCATCCCCATTCCATTTTGTCTGCAGATGATACCGATTTCTAATTAAACGCAACGGTTGATGTTAATAAGGCTAGTTTAATGCACTTGTAGTTAAACTCAAGTGAGCTTTATGTCGTAGATGCGTACCAAATGATCCTCCCCGCAACTCGCCAACTGAAGTTGCTTACCAGGTCGGAATTTCAATCGCCGAACGGTGAGATGATGAGCTTGACTATAAGTTAATAAGGTATTATTATTAATAGAAAATATTATTAATAATGTAACTGACTCACCTCTTATTCAAATCTTTAAGTAACTTCCATTCTCCTCGAACCACCTGATATATCTTTATCAGGCCGGTTTCCGTTCCCAAGGCCAGAAGGTATGTGTCATCTTGCCCGTTTAAATAATCACTTGAAAAAGCCACAGCTGTGATTGACTCATTTTTGAGTTCCAAAACCCCAGCCGCTTGCCAGCCATTCAGAGAAGATTCCTTCGATTCTTCTCCCTTTTTCCAAACCACTACTTTTCCCTCTCTAGAGCTGGTCACAAAGAACTGACCATCATGTGACCAATCACAAGACCAAATGATACGTGTGTGAACTCCATTGGATTTGTCCGTGCTGGCCACTAGTTGGTAACCCACGGTGGGGTCCTGTTTCTCGTAGAGACACCAACGACGATCACGAGAGACTGATAGCAGATATCGCGAATCGGGCGAGAAACTTAGTTGGGTAACTGTCAACTGGTGGCCACTTAGCTTCTGCAGCTGTTTCCAGTTAGAAGGGTTCCTGAAAGAGAGGTAAACTCTTAGTGCTTTTGTAAAATATAAATTTTATGTTAATTGGACTACATCAGCTGCAAGTTAAACTAGTATTTTTTAGAGGAAAATCTCACCATAGTATTATCTGTGCATGCTCGGCATTGCTCGCTTTGCAAGTGGAGGCCAAAACGGTACCATCTGCAGTGGCAGCCAGTGCGAAAATTTCGTAACCATGACCATAAAGCTTCTGAAGCTCCGGCCAAAGTGTGTTTTGCATTAAAGTCTCCTCTTGCGGTGGTGTTTCTAAGGTAATAGGTACAAAGTAGGTGTCCGGATATTCATCTTTACTCTTGCTGGATGCATCCTTGTCGGTTTCCACCTTGTACACAGCCTTGTTAGACAAACCCAGAGATGGTACAGAAGCTCCCTTGGGAAGGGCTAAAAAAAAAACAAGTTTATAGAAATTCTCAAAAGTAAAATATATCCTTCTTTGACTTACAATCCAGTAAGGCATCTCCAGATTCATCTTTCTCTATCGCACTGATGTGACGAAAGTTTTCAATAAAGTTCGCCGGAGCCTGAAAGGTCCGCACAATCTTTTCTTCTGCTCCACTGGCGAATTTATATCGCGAAAGTAAAGCCAACGCCTGCATATCGTAACCATGTACTTGGGGACGAGCTAGTTCATGCCACGTGGGATTAGCTTCATTCTGCACCCAAGGAGCGTGCAGTCGCGTTGTTTGATCCGCTGAGACGGTCATCAAATAGGCTCCGTCATGTTCCCAAGCCAGATCCCTGACCTCGCCATAATGACCACCCACAATGACATTTGAAGTCCAGAGTTGCGGGCGGCTTGGATCCTGATTCCAAATATGAAAACCACCTTGGTAGCTGTGGGCCATTATCGAGTGTCCATCGCTGGAGAACTTGCCACCAAAGAAGCCCATGGAATTACCACCCACCTCGCCAACGCGGACTTGCTCTAGCCAAACACCTTGCTCTGTGGGTGCCCAAATAATGAGGGTCTTGTCGATGGACGCGGATAGAAGGCGCAGTTCTGCAAAGTGAAGGTGTTCAATAGGATTCGTTAAATATTTAATGGGGTGACTTACCCTGTTCTTCAGTCTTGTGCCAATGAACACCATATATCCATCCTTCATGTCCGTATAGAACTGATTCCAAGCTTACAGCATACCAAGCTTCCTTTCCCAGCTGCAAAATCTTCTCCTCCACCTTTATCTCGCTGTCATTCTCGCTTAGCTGAAGCAGATCAATCTTGTTCTCCCGCATTTGTTCCTCACTGCGAGGGGAAATCCTCCACAGACGAATAAAGTTATCCTGTGAGCCGCTGGCCAACACCAAATCCTCGCCATCGTTAACGAAATCCAGACCTCGAACCCAGTCTTCATGACCTGTAAGTTTGTGAACGCGCTGAAATTGCAGACCCAGGAAATCGCCACCACCTGTGGCTTCTATTTGCTCCGACCACAAGGAAACAGTTTCGTCATCGCCACTGAAGGCCAGAAGGACACGATTACTCTTAGGCAGCAGCTTCAGGCGCAGTGAGAAGCAGAATCCTGTAGATAATGATATGGTTTGATAGCACACATAAGTATCCTCCTGGGGAGTCCACAATTTAATGGTGCTATCTGCTGCTGCGGTGGCTAGAAGCCAGGAACCATCTTGCCGACGAACTCCATCCACTGCATTAACACCGCTTGTATGTCCTTTAAGCGGTATGCTCTTGGAAGCTCCAGCTTCTTCCAATTCCCAGAAAACCGCCTGTCCATCATCACCTCCGGAGAGAAGTTTCCCGTGATCTAACCACTTTACAGTGTTTACACGCTTTGTGTGCTCCACCAGAGTAAACAGGATCTTCGCTGAGTTGCCTTGAAACTAAATAATCATTAAAAATTAAATATACATAATTTTCTATTTAAAAAAACATTTCCCACCTTTGGATCCATAATGGCTATGGCATTGCAGGCTCCATAGGCAATCCAACCATTTGGACCCCAATCCGCACATTCTGTGCAACGATTGCAGGCAACAGAAGTGTATAAGTTCTCCACTTGCATGCTATGCTATTTAATGCTCTTTTTTTTAAACTTTAATAACAAGTAATATCCAATTGAAAGTCGGCAAATTTGTTTTGTTTTGACACATGTGCTCCAAAAACTGCAGTGCTTTTAAAACTGTTGATAAACATATGTTTTTCTGTATGAGTGCAAGTGAGATAACTATATACTGCTTACAGGGCTGCCAGAAGAGTGAAATATGGTGGGACCTTAGGGTGACTTTTAAATTTCTGGCAGAGCCGGTTTTTATTGCTAATATTAATTAAAGTAGTTTTCAAATTTTTGACCTTCAAAACGATTTAAATCTAAGTTCAAATCGCACATTTAATAGCTGCCATATATAACAAGGAAATAAAAAGCCTTGCAATAGTTATAAAGGTTTAATTCGCTTGGCATTTTGAATTTGGCGCTTTGGTAGTAAAACGACTTGGCCACACTGGCTTGCAGAAAAAATAAAACAAATTGTAAAAAGGCATCCACAAATGTTTTCTAGTGCAGCTCTCCGCGTTTAATTAAAAGTAATTTTCCTAATTGATTGCCAGGGGTGAGCCCTAGCTTGTGACATTTGACCTTTCAGCTTCAGTGTTTCGGATTTCCAATCAGAAACCGCACAGTTTTCTGTTGACTCACAACAAAGCCACTTGAGTTTTCCCTTAGTTTTTCAACTTCGGTGTTCTATTTTTTGTATCTCCCCTGCAGTTTGTGAGCGTTTTGGAATGCTGAATGTGTTTCGCCAGCAGTATCATCGAAGCGCACAGGAAGTTATTTATAGCGCCGCCGGATTTGGATCATCCCGATCCAGCCACGCCCACGATTTCGAGCAAAATCAAGATGTCAAGGGGGAAATCCCGCTTGCAAACCGAAGTTTGCGGCGATTGTGGAGCTGGTGATCCATCCTGGGCGAGTATTAATCGGGGAATTCTCCTCTGTGCCGATTGCTGTTCAGTACACCGAAGCCTAGGCAGGCACATCTCCATTGTGAAGTCCCTGCGACAGGGAAATTGGGAACCTTCTGTTCTGAATTTTGTCAATTCCCTGAATGCCCATGGAGCCAACAGTGTTTGGGAGCATCATCTGCTGGATGGCAGTACCAATTCCACTGGGGGAAAACATGTGCCAAGGTGGCGAAAACCAACACCGAAGGATGCACTGCATCCCACCAAATCCGACTTCATCAAGGCCAAACATGTTCATCTTACGTTCGTGTTGAAGCCAAGTCTTCAAGATGATGATGATGGCAATGGCTCTCCGATCAGTCTTGAACAGGAGCTAAGCCGGCAACTCCACGCCAGCGTGAGGACCAGTAATTTGGAAACCTCACTACGCTTCTTGGTTCAGGGAGCTGATCCCAATTACTATCACGAGGACAAGCTATCGACGCCACTTCATATGGCAGCCAAGTTCGGCCAGGCATCACAGATCGAAATGCTGCTGATCTATGGAGCCGATGTAAACGCTTTGGATGGTAATGGGATGACTCCGCTGGAATTAGCCAGGGCTAACAACCATAATACCATCGCCGATAGACTACTAGAGGCCATGTACGATGTTACCGATAGGATCATCACCTTTTTGGGTGGGAAGAAGCCGGATCATGCAGTGAGTTTTTGGATCTTTTACTGTTTTATCTTAACTGAATCTTAATTGATTGATTTTCTCTTATCAGAGTGGCCGCCACTTGATAATACCGGATGCCAATGGCGCCGACATAAGCGAGCAACTGAAGATTGCCCGTGGAAAGCTGCAACTTGTGCCAAATAAGATGTTTGAGGAGCTGGTCATGGACCTTTACGACGAGGTGGACAGACGAGAGTGCGAAGCCAGTGGGTTTTATTTGCAATTCGCAATTTTTCTACCTACAAAACTAATCGTGTTTCTACAATATTTCAGTCTGGTCAACGAGCACCCTGAATGCTGAACATGCAACTGTGCCATTTCTGCCGGCTAATCCATTTTTGAGCGCCACGCGCAATCAGGTTTGACCTTGCTATATACTAATTAATGTGAAACCTTTATTCATTGACATGATTTCGTCGACAGGGTCGTCAGAAACTGGCACGCTTCAATCGTGCCGAGTTCACTGGTCTATTGACCGACGTGCTCGTCGACGCTTTGAGGCGTCAGAATATGGCGAACCTTCGTCCATTGGATGCCCCAATGCCAGGGCATCAGTCGCTGCAATCGCTGCCATATGCCAATAACTCAATGCTGCTCGGTTCGTTCGAGCAGGGCGGTCATGATCCGAATCTTTCGGATGATGAGCCCATCTACGATCCGGTGGCCAGTGATGATGACTATGCGCCAGTGCCACCAATGGCCCAGCAGGTAAACCTAATGCGGCAAAAGATACTCAAGCTAAACAATAGCTTCGGCTAGATCTGTTAGCCAAGACTGACATTTAGACAACCCGTGCTGTATACATTGTGTTCATCTGTAGGCCAGGGCACTATAGCTCCTGATTTTAGCCAATCTAGTCGATTCCCAATGGTAGAATCCCAAATGTAGACCATAAGCCTCAATAAAACTAGATGATAATTGTGAAAGTGTAGTTTAAATGTGTGTAGTTTTCCTGTGATTTGTCTGCTTTCCCTTTTCTTAATTTGCAATTATAGTTTATCGCTTGTATATATTTAGTTTTAATTATTATTGTTTAGTGATTTATTTTCTTTGATTTTTATGATTTCTTTTGCCTAGGCTATTGTGCATACGCCACCCCGAAATGCTAATTCGCACAACGAAATGGAAACGCTGCGTAAACAGCTTAGCGACTATAAGTCGGAGATCAATCAACTGAAGAACGTGGTCCAGATGCTGTCCAGTGAGAACTCGCAGCTAAAGTCGAAGTTCTCGAGCGCCTCCAACAACAGCGTCTATGATGAGCCACTGTGAGATTTTAAATTTGCATTTTCTTAGCTTACTTTTATTTTATAATTTGATTTTGATTTTCATTTTGCTTAGTCGCATTGATCTGAGCTTGAGTAGTCCTGATACAGAGCACGAGCCGCTTTCGCTGCCGGAAGGTGGAACTGCAAATATGGAAAGTGGCTCCTCCAATGACTCTTCAAATCAGTCGACCATCAAGCGTCCAGCCAGCATGTACGAGCGGCGCCTGGTTCCCAATGTGTCCAAGGGTCACACGGATATCAGGAATACCACTAGCATGTATCAAATGGCTGGCGATGGCAAACCTTTCGGTGAGGAAGTAAAAGTGCGCTCTGATTTGGTCACTCGCTGCCTCAAGGAGCTCATAAAAGCAATGCAACCAGTGCCGGAGGATCAGAAGCAATCAATTGCCCCACATGGAGAACTTATCCGTAGTGCCGTGACTGATTTAATTGCTCTTTATGCTAATTTGGTAAGATAATAGTCAGACCTTTTACAGGATGGATAACTTATAACCTACAATCTAAACTCTTTTAGCCCTCAAATGCTAGCGACACAACCCGCGAGACCCTTAAACTGCTGACCCGCCAGAACATTCTTATTCAGCACGAGTGCGAGAATCTGCAGAAGGCCATCGAGGCGGATGACAAGCAGGCCATACAGAAAAACACCTTGGAGGTGCGCGACTGCGCCTTCCACATTGCCAGTGCCATAAAGACCTTGGTGTTGCAGTTCTATTGAAATGACCAATACACAAACGACCTAGAAGTTTAACTCACCTTTATTAAAGTATTAACCCAACCAATTTAGTGCCCGCTGACTAACAAAAGTGCTTCCGCCAAATAAATTAAAGAATCCCCTTTACATATAGTTTATGTATTTAATAAATGTTTACATAAATCAATGTACTTCGTTCAATATACACACAAAATGCGTTCTTCTACGGGCTAATGGCCCATTTTGCGAAATAGTTTGAAAGTGTTGAAGGTTGTCCTATGAATGGGGACGTGGAAGGAGGTCGAAAGATGTATATATATATATATATGGGTCCATTATAATTTTAATTATCAGGTGCATTTTGAGCCTGTATATTGTTCACTTTAGTTAACTGTACGTTCTAAGCATGGACAATCAGTTAAGCATGGAGTACATATATGTGGCTTCCTCTACTTATTGTTTAACTTTGTGTAATTGAGTGGTTAGCTGCTGCTGCTGCTGCTGCTGCCATTGTTTATTAGCTTTTGTTCTGATTTCCGGTTGGTCGTCGGTCGTCAGTTTAGCAATCAGATTGCTCTTCTATGGACATCTCCTCTTTCTGTATGTGTGTGCAAGTTCAAGGAACTATTTAAGATTAAAGCATTTATCCATGAGTGTTGCACCGGCACGACTGTTTTCGCGTTCTCTAAAAAATAATATGTATGCTCTTGCTGTATTTAAGCGCTCCAAAAGTGTCCATAAAAATATACATATCCCATTTTGTTTTTTTTTTTTTTTGTGTTTTCTTTTTGACATTCAAAATTTAGGTGCATTGTCTAAAATATTGCTTTACATTCACTTTACAATCTGCTTGCCATTTGAGTTTTGCTAGTCCTTCCCCTTTTTTTTTTGTAATTTTTTACAACCTATAGTGTTTGATTGCGTTTGTGAGTTTGGAGTTGGGAATTTGGAAAACAACTATTTGGAATATCTAAGGGGGGAATCTCAAAGCTCGGCACAAACTCTTTTGGTTTTTTATCGTTTTATCTAGATCACAAAACATAAGGGCTGCTCAGTAATTACAATATAATAATCAGTTGGTTGTTGTAAATCAGTTTATCTAATTAAAAGTAAATTAAACTAGCGGTAAGCTTTAGGTACACGTACTCACTACATACACATACATCATATACAATATCCAATATCCAATATTAATATCAAGTTCATACATCTCATAAGGGAAGTCTTTTAAAACTTAGCCAGAAAAGAATGGAAAAAACACAAGAGCTTTAACAATAAACGGTAATAGTAATAAATATATATATATAGGACACGATCCCATAGATCTACCAACTAACTAACTAGCTAACGGATATATCTTCGCTTTGCTTTTTATCTTTGTGCCTAAACCTTATATTCAAATATTCTTCTCCATCTCATCGGAAACTGCCCTTAAATCAAGTTGTCTTATCTTTTTGTAACTAGAAAAACGAAAAAAGAAATAAAAATACAAAAAAAATTAAATGCAAATTGTGAATTAAATGGCATTCGGTTAATCTTTACTCGTCCTCAGCCTCGGTGATTGTGGAATTCATGATGTGCGTCTCCTTTTTGAACAGCAGCTGTCGATGATGCTGTGTAGGGTTTAACGAATGGATTAGAATTAGATCTATCTGTTAAGTTACTATAACTCACCTCTTCGTTTTGTATCATAATTATGCGGTGCTCCAGCTGTGGCGCCAAATCGCAGGTGGACTGCTCCAGGTCATCCAAGGAGGCACGTCGCAACATCTTTTTCAAGGATTTATCATTAACATATGATTTATAGATCTTGTAAACTAGTTTTTTCATACCTTTTGAGAATTGCCATGCGTCAAATCCATTGACTTATTATGATGACCCACTGATAACTTGCGTATGGGTGATGGTCCATCTAGATCCATACTATCCAGGCACTGCACTAGGCTATGCCTCCGGGAAAGTGTCACCAGCGACTGCCTGTGCTTTGTGTTTTGACCACACTTACGAGAATTGATGGCCTTGAAGTGGTTTTGCAGGGTAATTCCCAACTCGGGACAGGCATCATCATCCATCTGCAAGGGATTAATACTATAAAATCTAAAATCTTCCAATTAATATCCATTCCCAACTTACCAGCACAGTGGCATCCTTAAACATGGTATAGCCATCGCAGCCCATGAAGATGTAGCTTTTGACGCACAACTTGTAGGTCTGCTCCAGGTTTAGATACTCATCACCCACCTGGATTAACTGTGGATCGATACGTTTGCCAGGTTCCGCCTGCGGATCAAAGGCAAAACTGATGCCCGACACCTGAGGGAAACGACCCTCTAGTTTTGGATAGGCGGACACTCCGTTTTCCAGTGCCTGCCAGAGTATCTTTCCCTTAACCTCGAGTAGAATAAGTGGATCCCTCATGGGTATAACATTAACCAGATCGCCCATGGTAAAAGCACCCACTGGATGCACTCGATCTGAACGGAAAGTACCGCCATTTAGGATGACCACATCTGCTCCGACGGCGGCCAGCACCACGTCGCACACCCAGTTGCCCAAATTCGTTTCCTGGGTTCGCACTCGGGAAAATCTACCATCCAGCTCCACGCTGAACACTCCCATTACGTCTGATAGTTTGCTCTCAATGAACTCTGCAAGAAAAGCAGAAGGAGATTAGTTAGTCAATGCTTTCCTAGGTGTCAAAGTTCGCGGGATACTAACTGGCATATTTGGAGAGCTCCTGCTTCAGCTCCGGATCCTCTGGAATCTTGGCTGTCACATCAAAGCACTTAACATCCGTGGTGAAGTGCTCCCGATTGGTGGCATCTCGCTCGATAGTGATCACCGAGAACTGCTGGAAGTCCGTGCCCGACTTGACGATCATCTTGCCATTGATTTCGGTCACCTCCCTAACATGATCGTGACCACCAAGTATAATATCGATGCCATTGCACTTCTCGGCCAGATTAATATCGTTGGGTGTACGCATATGGGTAAGGGCAATGATGAGGTCACAACCCTCGTTTCTTAGCTCGCGGGCTAGCTTATTGCCCGCCTCCACATAGTCGATGTAGGTCACCTCGTTGGGATCAATGGTGGGCAGGGTCTCCAACCACTCCCGCTCCACCAGGCCAATCAAGCCAATGGATATCTGATTGTGCAGTATAAAGTGTGAGATCTTGCCACCGCCCAGAGGACGACCAGTTTCATTGTCCACCACATTGGACATAAGCCAAGGGAACTCCGTTTGCTTGATCAACTTTACCAGGACATCCAAACCGTGATCTGGAAATGGGTGTTAGGTTAATATCAGCAGAAGGTTAAGATGTTATGGTTAACTACCAAAATCATGATTGCCAAAGACGGCACAGTGGGTTCCCACCGTATTGAGCACGGGAATCATTTGTTCTCCTTGGGTAAAAGTACTCACTGTAATTAAAAGATAATTTGTAAATCAAATATTTAATGAATCTATCCAATACTCACACATGCTGGGTGAGAAAGCATCTCCGCTGAAGAGCACCAAGGGATTGAGGTGGGCAAAACTCTTTATGGCCGTGGCAAACCTGGCTGCTCCGCCCACCGGTTCCGTTTCCGCCATGGACTCAATATTGTAGACATCGTTGTAATGCAGAATGGTCAGTGGCTTGTCCTCGCCCTCGGTCATTTTCAACAGCTTCTTGGTCTTCTCCAGCTGCGATGATATCGATGTTGAGCGTCCGGTCAGACCGTGTGTGATGATTCGGGATCCAGAAACCGAACCAGAGCCCGAACCTCGATGTCTGGGACTTTGCGGCTGACTGACGGAGGCGTAGGCTCGTGTGGGTCTCGTCAGGAGTTCCCTGGCATCAAGGGGCGTCAGCGATTGACTTCCACTAGCCGTAGATCCTTCCTCTGGATCTTCTGGTCCAAATTGCAATGTAGAACCGCTCAACGAGGCTGTGGCACTGGCCGGTGCTGCTGGAACTTCACTAGATGTTGGCGTGGTGGGTGTGGGTGTGCCCAGTGATAGGTCCAAAGATCGAAAGTTTGGATTACTGCTCTGCAGCATGGACAAAGTTCTGGTGCCGGCGTCTCGCACTTCAATGGAAGCCTGCAAAAATATAACAGAAAAATATTACATAAATTACTATTTTGCTCTTTGAGAATTCTTGACCACATCGAAGGACAACAGGGGCACAAACAGAATCAGGAATCAGGCAGGTGGATGCAACACAAAAGCTAAGGAAGTGCAGGTTTTCGTTTTTTTGGTTTTGTTGTCTTGGGTGTAATACACTGTGTGTTGCTGGGTGCTGGGTGGTTCACATCAAAGGGGATCACATGGATTTTGGTTATCGGTTGTGAACAGAACAGAACCTGCTTCAGCCAGCCCACCACATTGCCCATGGCGGCGGCTCCTCCCGTACGGCTACTGCCCGTCAAGTGGCTCAGGCGACGAGTGGATCCATGGCCAGTGGGTGGTGGCGTTGTGGGTGGCACTGCTGTTGATCCTGTTCCGGATCCTGGTACTCCTCCACCGCCTCCTCCTCCTCCTCCTCCGCCGTCGATTCCCGCATTGCTCATCCTATAGACGCTGCTTGGTTTTTTTGGTGGAAGATTGAAATGGAAATGGCACACAAGAGATTGGTGATACGCTCGACTAGAGAGGTCAGCTTAAGGGCTTGCTTTCAAGATCTAATTGCTCAGCTTGTTTGAAATAATAATTCAGATATTATAGTCGCGCCTACTATTTAAAACCTTTAATTAAGTTAATTTACTATTATATATGGGTTAATTTCAGTCTAACTTTAATATAATTCTTTGAAAGAAAATAAAATATGATATTCAGCCTTTTCTTTTTTTAAAACTTTATTTATATATTAAGAAAAACGGTACAAAGGTTATAAACAATCTATGTTAAATGAAAATTGAGTATAAAAATGAGCTCTTTCAGTTTTGTTTGGTTATTGATAAATTGTTTAAAGATAATTTATAAACGAATCAATGTGATGATATATAAAAAGCTCTTTTATATAGCATCCTTTGTTGATTTTCGTTTATACTTATATATATTAATATTCATTACATGTTTATAAATATGTATAAAAGAGGAAAAGTGAAGAAAGTAACTTTCACGTACGTGTAAATTGAATTGTGTTATTTTTTCAGCTGTGAATTTTTACACTCAACTACGGAAAAAACAATATTTAACTCAGCTGAGTTATCAAATCAAGAAAACATATTTATTCTAGGAAACTTACAAAATGCCTGGCACACAACGACAACGACTTAGAATCATTTTCAATAAATTATTAACAAACAATCAAAGAAAAGGTGAGAAAATTTCGTAATTTTCGCGCTAAATATAAAAACAACACAAGAACCGAGACACTCGAACTGCAAAACACAAATGCGATTGCTTAAGCAAAATGAAATTGTTTCGATGCAAAAATATAAAAATAAACAATAACAACGATCGATGATAAGGCTGAGAGCATAAAAATGCAAAGAGAGGTGATTTCAAGAAAATAAAAGTAAATAAAACGCTGAAGGAAATCAATTTTTGCAACAAAGTGGAATGTGCTCATGACCTACAGACAATGGTGGGATTTATTGTTATTTCTGTCTGTTGGAAAATGCCCCATTAACTCAGCAATCGAGAGAGAGGGAGAGCAATATTGAGAGGTAAAGTATCTCACAGATACATTGAATTAATTTCTAGACAAGAGCTTTGCCTGCTGATTGGGGCACATTGACATTGATAATGAAAGCAACAAGCAAATCGAGAAAGTCATCTAAACAACACTCATACGCAGCGTTGGCCGAGCGAAACAAGGTCAAATATGTTTGATGATAGCTATAGAACAGCTTCTTCAGGTTTTAGTACACTAAGCTGACGGCTAAAGTTAAGCTGCGTTTTCTAACAGGACATGAAGGTGAATGATTGGCAATCAAGGAAAATCAGGAAATGCACATAAATGGAAAACTGACAAATGTCCTTTGGGCATTAAGTCAATATTCAGCTTTAACCGGCTTTTACCAGTTTTGATAAACTCAACAATTCCGGCCAATCAGTAGACTATCAAATTATATCAACCACATTTTGTTTTATTTATTGGCTTAATTAATTCTCAACGAATTTTTCGTTATGTAAAATATTTACTTTTCGCCTGCCCGCATGTCAATGTTTTGTTTGGCAAACAATTTCATTTTAATTGAATCCACTGACCCAAACATAATTAATAACATATTTTAGTTAAGTGCTGTTTACACGCGGAACCACATTTCAAACTGCATTAAATATGCTCATCAAGCGTTCATGCAGAAACATTCAGAAACATTCGAATGGAATACAAAGTGGCAACCGCAAAATCTCATTTTCTGAATTTTGCGCAGACCAAACAAAAAAACCATAAATATTTGGTTTGAACTTTGGGAAGGCAAAGTTGCAGATACTCTTATGAAGTGTTGTTTGTTTTTTTTGTATCTGATTTACTTCCTGAGGGGAATTTTTAATTTTAGGGAATGTTTTAGGGAATGTTTGTCTTAAAACTTGATGGTTGATGAGGGCTTATATCCTTGAAGAATTATGGACCTTTGATTGGGAATTGGATTTGGCTTTGGGAATGGTTCGTAAACCAACATTTAAAATGTAAACTACCTTTTTAAAGGGTATACAAACATATCAAGAAGAAGAAAAAAACAGAAATCTGACCGAAATGAAATATGCATTTGGACATGACAGCTCTGATTTACGAATATGCAACAGTTGAAGTGGGATTTGAAATGGGAATAATTTTTTTGTTTCAAGGACTGCCCTTTTTAGCCAACCTACTGGAAGGGCTTCTGAGTAATGTTAAAGCATTTTCACGTACTTAATACCTTTCCACTCGCTCTGTTTTCAATTTGAATCAAGGATTTGGCCCGGGATGAGCAGACAAGTGAAAGTCTCTCTCAAAAAGAACAAAAAAACAGCAAAGGGGAAAAACAATTGCATGCAATCAATTGGTGAAATCAGGCATGCAATTCGTATGATAGTGCCTTGTGTGTGTGTGTGTGTGCCTGACGATGTCCTTGACTCCTTGGCAAGGTAAATTCAGGCATTTGAGAGACACTCTAAGGCAAGGGTTAAGGGTCAATTGGCTGAAGGCTGAAAACTGAGGTCGAGTCTCGCCTGTGAAGTGAGCAGAATTTCGCCTGGCTGACTTTTCGACAGACCTAAGGACATGCCCAGCTATCCACACACTTACACATACTCACATTCGAGGAAAAGTTACTTTTGCAACAGTTGGGCTAAAACGGTTTGGGGCTTGTACTTGTTTGGCTGGTTTATCGCCAGCATGTTGGCAACAAAAGTTCATTAGCATATTACGTATACGTCTGATTGCCCTGTAACATTTTCATTTTGGGCTTAAGGGTGAACGAGAAACGGAAATGAAATGTGTAATGAGAAAAACGGAAACTCAAACAGCAACTCAGGAATAAATTATTAAAGGGATTTGCACAGAAGGCAACACATATGGTTTTCTACTACCTTTTGCTCTTTTAATTTCTCTAATAAATATAGGTCTTAGGCAGGATTCAATGTTAGCTTTTCAAATGAAGTTGTCTAAACTATTTTGATATCTATCTAACCTTGACATTTAGTTCTGATCAATAAGTGCAGCGGGCAAAAGTTTTAATAACTCTCAGCTGAGATACTCAACTGCCACAATTTTCAACCCCTTTTAATTGCATAATTGATAAGTTCACCTAACGACTGTCAGTTACAGTCTGTTATTTACTCACTTGCGTGTAAGGTTTACTGAGTCCTCCTCCTCGTCTTTCCTTTTGGCCCCTTTTTTCCGGTTTTGAGTGAAGGTTGCCCAGCAACAGATTTTTTGGCTTGGAGGTTCCTTGTTGGAATGCAAGCAAACTGCAAAAGTAAAGAAAGTTACTGAATTATTTAGGTTGAAGGATATACAGACGAACTTGCCGCACTCGAACTTGAAATTTATGATAACTATAACTAGCACTTTATAAAATTGTGGTTTACATAAGAGATAAACTTGCTTAATTCTATAAATTAAACTACTTTTATGGTTAAAACATTCAACTTGGCTTGGATAACAATAAGTGGATTTGTTTTATTCTTTAAAGAAAGACCTAAAGTACTTTAAAACTAAAAGTAAAACAAACCTAGCTTTTTTTTATAACTAACAAATATTCGCCTTAATAAAGCCGCACTGTACCAAGTCCTTTTAGCACTTCCCTTGCAAGGTTTTACTATCTACCACTACTTTGCCGCTAAAAGCTGTAACAAACATTGATGGTCTATTTTTACTACCCCTCTCAGTTTGGGGTTTCTTCTTGAAAAGAGCAAACAAGACTCCCCATCAGCACACAGCACTCGACGTGTGGCAGCCACACCACACGCACCTTCACTTGACTTGACTGGCTTTATTTTGTTTTTATATTACCTACATTTTACCTACTATTTCAGCCGTCTGGAATTTCAAAGTCAAAGATTCCATCACACTTTTTGTGTGTTATTTTCAATGTTTCTGCGTGTTAAATTTAAGTGAAGGTCTTTGAATATTTAACTTGTCTAATTGAAAGTTTTTATGCGATTGTTTGAAGTTTTTAATTGATGACCAATTAATCAAAATATCTGTAAAATTAAGTTATAAGTGACTTTTAAAAGGTTTTAGGCTTTCAATTCAGGGAAATCAATCAAAATAACTGCTTGAAAGTTGAAACATTTTGAGAAACTTTTTTGCAAAGAGAAGGAAGAAGATAATAAGAGGATATATTTAAGTACTCATCAGGAGCCATTTCCAAATAAACACATCATTAAATCTCAACTAAAAAAAAACAAAATCCAAAATGAGTATCTAAGCACTAAATAATTGACCACTTAATCAAAAATGAGAGAAACTTTATATATGTCATTTCATGTTTATTTTTGAATTCAAAATACATTTTTCGTTGACTTCAAGGTCAGGCAAACTTAGAGAAGACCCCCAAAATGCGGTCACACTCCTTGCGAGTACCCTAGACCCACTTATCTGGTGGTGCCAAGTTCAAATGGCTAAAAAACATGGGCAAACATCAGCAAACACTTTTTATTCGCCAAGAGCGGCACTTGTTGTAAAAACAAATAAGCGGATGAGTGTTTTCAAGGGGGCTATGCAGGGGTATTTAAGGCCGAAATTCTAAAAATCAGCTGTGCAAGAGAGTAACTCTCAGAAGAGAGAGAGAGAAAGCTTTTTGTATGGGGCTGCTTAATATTACTCTCTCTCACCCAATATTTATAATCCATCTCTCCCTCTCGCTATCTCACCTCCTCTTTGGACTCTCTTAATAAGCACGTTGTTTGCTAGCTGTTATTATTGTTGCGTATTTGTTGTTGTTGCTTTTGTCTTTTAAGTTAATATTTTAGAACGTGTTGAGCGAGGGACTTTCGCACACCACGTCATACTAACCATCTACCTATATATATATTTATATATATATGTATGTATATATACATAAATATCTATGTGTTTGTGTGTATCATGCGTAATGTAATTTGATGGGGGTTACGAGTTTTGTACACTTGAACTTGCAGCTGTCCTCTGGCATATAAAAATAAACTGTTTATGCAGTTAACTTTTGGGCCGTGCTTTCGGTTACCCTCGATTTAGGCCTACATTTTCTACATTAATAATTCAACACACACGCACACTTTTGTTGTTTTTTTTTTCAAAAATTACACTCAATCATGCGAATATTGTTCAATTGACATTTCCGCTATATTAAAGTGTACTCTAAAATTTGCAAATTTTTCACACGCACACACATCATTTTACTTTCACTTAATAAAGTCATCACATTCAATTGAGCTGATTTAAATCAAATATAAACACTTTAATGCTGATTAATCAATTAGCTCATCAGACACACTGATAAGGAGGATTTCCCATTCAACACTATTTCTATTTCTGTTTACTATCAATAACTTACAAAGTATATTTTGCCTTTATCACCTTTTTTTCAGAGACAAAAATGCTGAGCCTGCTAACTTCTTTTTTTTCTTCTTTTCTTGGTAAAAAATCTTCTGCGTAGCGAAAGGAATCGGTGCAGACGATCGAAACGCGGTTATAGAAAAACACCACCGTTCACATGGGAAGCAGAACTTTGACTGGCATCTTCTTCCGCTTCTAGGTGAGCACGGTCGCCAAAAAAAAAAAAAAATTGTATGTCCAACATGTGGGAGAGCATGCGCCAGCTGAGCGGAGAGCTCGCCAAATAATGGGGCTTCCAACAGAAAAGCTCTACTAACATTGCTTTGGCCAAAATAATTCCCCTGAGCCAAGATCGGGTTAACAGGGTTGAGAGCTTTACAGCTTGGATAAATTTGAATTTTGAGCGCCAAAATGTTTTACTTAAAATGATAACTCAAGAGATATACCGTAATGCATGATATGATTTTTAATATCTTAATTTATCTTTATTTAGCTAGAGTATATGGGAAATTTTTATTATAAGAAATATTTTAACTCTTTTTTGGCAAGGCAATGTCTTATTTAGCACTAAACTCAAAAAATCTTTATCTTATGCACCAAACTTCAATTTGAAATATTTCCATATATTTATATATTTAAATTTAAAATATTCATATAATAGATTTAACCCGAAAGAAATATTGCAAGCAAGAAGAAAATATCCCAACTGCACCGTTATTTCCTGCTATTAAGCCAAAATAAATCCCCAAAAACCCAAACCCCATCAAACCTACAGTTTGAAATTCCCCAAAAAGAAAACAGCATTTCAATTTGAAATGACAAAAGTATTTTAATATTATTTAATAATTTTTATTTATAGTACCTCACTTTAAAAATTACGTTATACCAATATTACATTAAATGTTGTTTGTTTATTACATGGGTTGTTTGTTTTGTTTTTCGCTATTTCGGCTGTTACATAGATTGTTTTCAGTGTTCCTTTTTTGGGTTTACATTTACCGTTATAATAGATATTCTTGCTGTATATGCATATTTGATAATCCAAAATGTGCTATAATATTGTGTGGTTAAAGGTTATCTCTTACACATTTAGTTTTAGCTTAAAATTTGTAAATGTAATATTTTTTTATTTATTTTATTTTTACGCTTCTGGTTGTGATTTATCATCTTTCATTTTCGATTCATCTTCATGTTTGCTGGGTTCATTTTTTAATTGCTCTTGCGACAATTTTAACAAGGTTATAATGATATTTGTTTTTTGTTTTTTTATTGTTGATTTAACTCTCTTGTAGATGCTACTTCGTATGCTTTAATTAATTTACAATGATATACAGTTTTGCTATAAAAACATTAAAATGAAATCCAACTAAAGATAATAGGAATAGAATTAAATTATGTTGAGTTTAAGGTAAGCATATTGCATTCAGTTCTACGGGTCGATAACGCTAAAATAAATTAATTTGCAACATTTGATTTTGTTTTCTCTTTTCTTGTTGTTGTTTTTTTTTTTTTTTGTAATTTTCAGATACCTGTTCCCCTAAGTCCAACCTAACGAATAATGAAACTATATTCAAATGTATTTACAAAGATTTTCACGTGTTTTCCGAGATGAAACCAAAAATAGTGTTGAAGTTACTTCAGATGGGTGTTTTACAGTAGTATCCTGCGACTTTCCTCGTTTCCTAAATACTCGTATGTCGATACGCGCTAGTGGAAGCTATTATACACTTTTCTTTCGTTTTCCTTTTCCATGTTTTTTTTTTTTTTAAATTTCTAATTCAAAATTTTGCATACATTTTTCTCCTTGTAGATTTTTTTCCGATTTTCTTTTTGATATAATTCTAATAGCTTTCGAATTTCGATTAAAGTTTTCTTCAAAGAAAGGTGTTTATTATTAGTACTAAACTCGCTTTCGCAGCTACAGCTAAGACATTTTACAGTTCACTTAGAGGTTCATTTGTATCCATATATATACGTGTGTGTGTATTTATTGGTTGATTTCTCTTACAAGCTTGCTTTAAATCTTTGTTTTTTGAATGCGATTTCGAAAAGGACATTATTTCGAGCTTAACATTAACAACATTTGCAGTTTGTTTCGCTTCCGATTCTATCAAAAATACATTCCATGTTTTACTTTTACTTTTACTTCATTACTACATTTATGTATTGGCTATGTTCTTAATTCAGTTGAAATCAAATCGATATCGATTGATTTTCACGACGCCTCCAGTTAAATTCAAATAACTCTCTATCTCTCTCTCTCATCTGATCTGTTGTCATTACATGCTAATGAGTTTAATAACTAAGACCTTGATAATTTGGTTTAATTCTACATTAAGGTATATTCTCCCCTCTCGTTCTCCGCTCCATTCAAACAATATATATATGGTTATAAAGCATTTGATTCATGTATGGGTTGTGTGTTGTATGCGTGTGTGTGTTTGTATGTTGTGTTTTCACTAAAGTTTTGGGCTTGCGTTTCTACACTACAGTTTTAGGCGCACTTTCAGTCTCACACTAAGCAAAAATTATAATAAAACGTTGAAGGGGGAACTATCAAGGTTCTCAGAATTATGGTCACAAGTCCGAAAATTAATAACAAAGTGCTCTTAAAACTGCGAGAGCCCAAAACGAATCCATCATTATCTTTCGAGTCTAGGCAAATTCTAAAATTCATTTCTTCTCTTACGATCTAAAATATGTGTGTGTGTGTGTGTTTCTCTCCTGCTCTCCTTCTCTCCAAAAAACTTACTTGGCTAGAACAAAGGACTTTTTGCGAACCTAATAACCTAATATAACTATGTTCCGTATAATGTAGATAAAGCATATTTCGTTATGTATTTACATTTTATACACATCTCGGTTGTGTAATTAATGTCCATCTAGTTCAAAAGTGTGTTTTCTTTTCGTTTATTTTTTTTTTTTGTGATTGCTTTGTCCTTCTACCCTTGGGAATTTCTGGTTGTCTGCGGGTCACAGATATATATGATATATATCTTCCTAACTGACTGACTTTGACTACTGTTTGGACAATAGCAAATGAAACTGTCGCAGCTTGCGTTTCCAGTGCTTGCAATTAAATCTAAACTTGATGTCCTCGGGCCTGGCCACTCCGGCAATTGTTTCCAACTCTTGTTGTTGTGGCCGATCATCATCATCATCATTATCATCTTTATCATCATCCTCCTGCTCTCAACGCTTTTGCTTGTTGGCTTTCTTGCGCTTGCTGGTGCCGCCACTGACTGCCGACGAGCCACTAGCAGCCACCGACGACGGTGGTGGTGGAGCACTAGACGGTCCGCTAACCAATGCCGATATGCTGGCAAATGGTGTACTGCTAGCCGCCGTACTACCGCTAGTACTAGGTCCTCCAACTCCACCACCACCTCCACCGCCAGTGCTGCCCATTATTGCCGCAGCATGCAGTGATTCTCAACTACGCTCCGGCGTCCCATGGTGCTGATAGATCTGCTGAAGCTGCTGCTGCTGCTGGCTGTGCACCACCTGACTGCTCGATGTAACCACATCCTGTTGCATATGCTGGGGATGATGGCCCGGATGGGGCGACTGTTGTTGCTGTTGCATATGTACCACGTGCTGTTGCATGTGCTGAGGCGTCGGCGGACCCTGTTGCGCCGAACTGTGATGCTGCGGCGTACTATGATGCTGCGGCGTTGGCGGATGCGGCGATGGACTGTACGGGAACTGTTGCTGTAACATATGCAACTTTGCATAAATAAATTGATTATCTCGGTTAGTCAAAGCTGGCAATTGTGTGTGTAATGTTTGTGTTTGTTTGGGGTGGGTAGAAAAAGAGGGTTTTTAGAAAGCAAAAACAAATTCGATGGTTTGGTGTAAGTTAATTAAGGATGACTATATAAAGACATTTAATCTTAAACAAGTTATAAAAACAAATTAAAATTGTATGCGTTTCATAATCAGTGAACTTTTATGTAAGTTAAACAGCAAAGGTTACTGAATTTTAAGTTAAAAAAAGAATATGAAACACTTTTCAGTACAAAAATAAGTTTTAACTTTGTGGGTTTGAAGGAGACTTTAGTTTCAGAGTTAAACTGGAGTTGCTTTTAGCTTTTAGCTTTAAAATCTTAGTTTTTCCCAACTGCCTTTGCCATACGTACCGAATTCTCCTGACTGTGCTCGATAATCTCAATGCTGCCAGTGGTGTTGCCCGAGGTGTTGAGCAGCGCCACGCCACTCGTGTTGGCCACCACATCGTATTTGCCGCGCTTGAAGCGTCCATAGAGCGAGCTGTAGGGCAGGTTATAGTGAATGGCCGCCTGGTTGATGGACATTTGGCCAACGCTAAAGGGGATGGAGATACACGTCAGTGATTAGCGTCTTAATTGATGCCACTACTTCACATATACACACACAAGCATACACTTACCGCACTGAATTCAGGGCCTCGTTCATGGCATCCTCGGACCAAGGTGTTGGATTCGAACGCGACAGCTCGATGCCCTCCCGTTTGCAGCGTCCGTAAAGTGTTCCTTTGAGGCGGTTGATGGAGTGGAAGAGTGGGATTAGTCAGAGAAAAATCAGATCAGAAAGAGGGGGAAAATGGAAACAAGACAAAAAGCGAGTGTCACTTTTTTCAGAAGGAGAAGTGATGGATGAAATTTGAAAAACTCTTTTTTAAGATTGTTCTTTAAGTTGGAGGCTTCTTAAACCGATCTCCGAAAGAAATGATAGTTAAATGGTAATCCTAATGAAAAATCTGTTTCCTTGAAATCACTTCAGGATTTATTATTAATCTCCCATCGAAGCAGATCCTAAATCAATCCTACAATTGGATTCCCAGACAACTCACCTGTGGGTATGCCAAACTCAGCACTGGCTTTCTGCACCGATGTATTACCCGCCCGTATCGCCTCCAAGGCACGCTCCAGATCCTCGGGCGTCCACGTGGTTGGGGCGGCATTGAACGGCGCCGCAAGTCGAATGCCCTCGCGTCGGGCAATCTTGTAGAGCGTCGATGATGGTATACCGAATGCCTTTGACGCTTTGTTCGCGGATATCTGACCCGAACGTAACGCCTCCAAGGCATTCTGCAGGGCATCCTCGTTCCATGACTTGGTGCCGCCCTCCTTCTTGGGCGTTTCGATGCCCAGGCGATGAGCACGTTGCCAAAGGGTGGTCGATGGGATGCCATAAATGGCGGATGCTTTCGTCAGGCTCATGTTTTGGTTCTTTAATGCATCTAAAGCTGAATTCATATCATCTTGTGTCCAAGCTTTGGGACCATTAAACTGACCTTTCTCGCCAGAGCCAGAGCCAGCCCCACCACTCATGCCCCCACCGCCACCAGCACCGCCGGGCCCCGGGCCACAAACGCTGCCACCCAGACCGTGCTGTTGATCCAAATTCGTATAGTGCGGCTCCTTCTGATCATGCGGCGAGCCGTTGGCAATCATCATTGAATCCTCGCTCGTGTCCGAGTTGTACATGTCTGAAAATGAGAAAGAAATGCAATCAGTCATTAAAATTCATTAATTTCGTTGATTGGTAATTAGGGGTGCCAGTTTTTAGCGGATAATACCCCCCAATTCCTTGACCCAAAACTCACCCATATGTCCTGAGGACATCATATTGACAATCTCTGGCGTTATTATCATACCCGGCTCGTGTTTAATCTGGCTCGGATCGATCTCCATGACTGTTGCCCCACTAATATCATGCGTCACATGTCCCCCATGCTGGCCATGCACACCAGCAGCTGCTGCTGCTGCCGCCGCTGCTGCTGCTGCTGCCTGCTGTTGTTGCTGCTGATGATGTTGCTGCTGCTGTTGCTGCTGCTGCTGCTGCAACTGACTCTGAGCCAACAGCTGCTGGGCATGAAGATGTTGCTGTTGCTGTTGTTGTTGCTGCTGCTGCTGCTGCTGTTGCTGATGCTGTTGGTGTTGTTGCTGCTGCTGCTGCTGTTGGTGGGCCTGATGATGGGCATGTTGCTGCTGGGCCTGGCTAAGTGCATGCTGTTGGGCCGCTGCCAGGTGCTTGGCGTCGATCACTTCGCTTTTGATGTGCTGCACCAGATTCGAGTTGCTCTCATCGCCTGTATGGTGATGCGATATCGAGTGCATGGGGGACTGATCGAGTCGATGGATCTGCTGAGCCAGATGATTGTCTATATCGAGCGGTTCGGTGGGATCTATCAAAAGAAAAGAAATTATAAAAATGTTAGTTCAAGGTTTTCCCAATACTATCCGGTTACGTGTATATTCGATGGCTACACTACCGATAACTCACTTGATAGATCGCGAGTGTCCGTGCTGGGATTGCAGGACAGATCGACGTGTTCCGTGACGGTGACTGGGGTGGCAGATGGTGCTGGTGGCTCGGGTGTGAAGTCCAGGAATCCCATGGGCACGCCCAACAGGCCGCCGTTCTGTATGCGGCAAGACAATCCAATAATTCGGGGATGGAGAGAAAGATACGAATTTTAGGTTAGCAAAATTAATGTGTTCGCAATGCCTATTGAGATCCATGAGATCTCGAGGGGCTAAACTTAGTGAATGCTGAGAGAATACTAACTAAAACCAACAAAAAGTAAGAAACTAGCTAAACCAACTTACCATGCCCATGCCTAAACTAGTCATATTTTTTGTATCTTTTCCGTCGCGCGCTACTACAATTTGTGTGACGATGGCTTGGCCGGTGGATGTCACGCCGCTCACGCCCGCTGCATTGTTCGAGGCGCTGGATGAATTTGACGCCGGCGATGCCACCGATTGCTCGGTTTTGCAGATCTTATTCGGCTTATTCTCGTGCTCGTGATCGTGACCGTGTCCGTGCGAATGTCCTCCGTGCCCGTGACCGTGTTCGTGATCGTGCTCTTCGACGTCGGAATCTTCACCAGTTCCTGACACTGGTATATAATTCCCGTCGGCCGTCTGCTGTAGGCTAACAATAGAGTTTGGATTTTGGCCCTGAATGAGAATGGTTTGCGGGTGGTGGTGATGATGCGCCGGCTGCGGTTGCGATGAGCTGCTACTTGAGCTTCCTGCTCCTCCTCCGCCCGTTGGCAAATCTGGCGATTTCGAGCGCTTTAGTCTAGTCTTGCGCGGCGTTGGCTGCAAACCGGAACCTGACGTCTGTCCTGCCTGCTGTCCGCCGGCTGAACTTCCGCTACTGCCGCTGGCCGATGAGCTAAGCAATTGCACGGGTTGTGTAAGCAGAGCAGCGTTGATTTGTTGCTGCTGCTGTTGTTGTTGTTGCTGGGCATGCACCTGCTGTTGCTGATGTTGCTCCTGTGCCTGCTGTTGTTGCTGCTGGTGGTGGTGTTGCTGTTGCTGCTGCTGCTGCTGTTGTTGTTGTTGTTCCAACGAAGGCGATGGTGCTCCGGGAACTATGGTGGCATTCACAATATTACCAACAACCGCCTGCTGTATGTTCTCTGAAACTGTGATCGTTGCTGTGGCGGCGTCGTTCAGGTCATCCGCGTTCTCGGCGGTTTCGCAGAGGCCTTTGATCTTTAGCTGCTCGGCGGTACGTAAGAGGCCCTGTAAGAAAGGAAAAGGGAGAAGCTTATTAGTCATTGATATTCAAGATTGTGATTGGAAAACTTTGTACTGTTCTTGTTTTTGGTGCCTTTTCTTTGTGTTTAGTCTTACTTATGGAATAAACTACCTTTAAAGCCCTTAGTATGATAGTCTTCCTCATTTATAAACTCAATATTACGAAATCTCCCTAAGCAATAGTCACGTTTAATGCAATTTCAAATACAGTTTGCCTAAGAACCACATTTTGTTTCATAACCAATTCAAATTTGGTTTTTATACAACTCATATGATATGGAATACAACGGCTAGTTTGCCCCCCTTCAAGGATATAATGGTATTCATCACCTCGGCAATTTCTCCCAAGGCTATATAGGAGGGTATGAGTGTGTGTGTGTGTGTGTGTTTGACTGTTTCGCGGTGATTTGATTGAAAAATAGCCTATATCTTGGATAGTTGAAAGAGTTCCAAAGTGCCGCACCCATTCCGACAGTGAGACGCCCGGGGGAATACATAACAGAGCTTAGGTGATGGAAATTTGTTTCCATTTTTTTTCGTTCGTTTTTGGGATGTTGGCATGGTGGCGGGTGGAGTGGAGAAGAGAGAGAGGACGATGGTCTGCCTCGTGTTTGTCCAGCGCTGTGACAGTCATTACGGCGTCGCTTGTCTTGGCATGGTGGTCGGTCACCAGTGTCCACAGCAGTGTCCGTTGCCCAAACCCGTCCAACAACACTTTCGCCCATCACCAATGCCAACGACAACGACGACGACGTCGCCAACGCCCACATGCCCAAAAACCCTCTGCCACCCACTAACCACCCATCACTACCCCCTTTCCAAACCCAATCCGCTGCAGTTGGCAGTCGCCGCAGCAATTGGACAGACAAATATTTACTTCAGAAGTTTTTCTTTTAAGCAGTGCGCAAAAGCCCTCCTCCTCCACCCTCACATCTTTCCATTTTTTTATACATATATATATTTTTTTTCCATGCTTCGCATTTTAAATTAAAAATACGGAAAAAACACTACGGCTCACGCACACTCCGGCAGCGAAGAAAAAATTCTTATTACCGCCTTTTGCAAAGGGAGGAGGAGGCGGCGGTGGCAGGGCGGCTTGTGAGAAGTTGGGTGGATTTGGGTTGGGATGGTCATGGGCATGGGAATGGAATGGCAGCATGGCATGGGTATCCTGGTGGCCCGAGGTCTCCTGGCGAAACAGAAAAGAAATTAAGGCAAAAATTGAGTAGGTTGAAATTTGTGTACCCGTTCTTTCGGTTCGCTCAAGCCGCAAAGAAATGCTGCCCACCCCGTTGGGTAGCTTACCACCTCCACCTCCCCCTATCCCTCGTCATCGTCATCGTCGTCCAGTTTGTGTGTTTTAAAAAAAAAAAAGGAGGAAAAAATCTTTTCTTCGACAGCAGCAAAAAAAAAAAAGGGAGAAGAAATCAGCAAGAGTGAGGAGGAGGATGAAGAATCCTTCGAATAAATGAAAGAATTTTTTTTTTTCAGCTGTAGATGCAAATGGCAGGCGCCGGAAACGGAACTACCAGGCCAAGAGGATGGGGTGCACCGTCAGGAAAGGATGCATGATTGCTTGGCTATATATGAGTGGGTGGTAAAGAAGGAGGGCAGAGGAGGCTCTGTGGTCGCTCTGCTCTGCTCATCAACGCCAAGAAGAAGAAGCGCCATCGCCGGCCCGCTCTTCATCCTCATATTTATTTATTTAAAAAGAAAAAAAGTACATAACAAATTTACGCAACTTTTCTTGAACCTTTTTTCCATGCTTTTTTTTTTTTTGTTCTTACTTTAGTGCTGTGTCCAGCGCACTTTATTAAAACCAACAAATACAAAAGAAAAGCGAAAAGAAAAGCCTGAAAGAAATTAAGAAGGAGCCAAAGAGTTCGGCACAGAAAAATTTAAATAAATTGCGGCAAAGGGTTTGGGTTGAAGGTGCACAAGGGGCAGCAACGACGACGACGGCGACGATGAGGACGTTGAGAAACCGAAGGCGACCCAATCCCAATCCCAATCCGCTTTTTTTCTTCTTGGCACAAATTTTTTCTTTCTCTGTGCAGAATTTTCCTTGTTTTTAATTACGACAACGACAGAGCACAGAGCTCTCTAATGGCCGTGAGGGCACACCCGGACTTTGGACTACGGACTTCTCCGGACTGTCCGGGTCTTATGTAAAGCAATACACACACACACACCCAAAGAAAATACCCTGAAAAAAAGGCTGCGTGGCAAAGTCTTGGCAAGGAAGTTGAAGAAAAAATTGGCATTGGGCAGGTATATATACCGTATGTATCCAAGAGCTGCTGCTACCTCCCAAAAAAATAGAAAGGAAGGAAGGAAGGAAAGACGGGAGAAAATCAAAGGAGAAGAGCAAAGAAAAATCACTGCCCCTCGCCTGGTTTTGATAATCTCCCACTGCAAATTCCAATTAAAAACTCTTCATGTGCTAAAGTCAAATCAAAGAGATATAGAGACCCCGAGAAAGAGAGAGAGAAAGCTCAGAAAAAAAGGCAGCTTCGTTGCTGGCTATATTTCTTCTATTCCTATTGAAATTCTAACGCAATTAGTGCATGAAAATAAAGCGCCAATGCTGCGTATGAGTGATATATAGCTTAAATGCCACAATGACCAGTTCGCTTTGCTACGCTTCAGCTTTCTGGGCTAAAAAAAAAAAAATGAGAAGCCAAGGAGAAACTAGGAGGAACTAGAGGACCAGGGACCAGTCAGGCATAATTGAAAAGCGAGACCAGCTGACAACCAGAGTAACAAGCACGTGGAGTAGCAAAAAAAAAAAAAAAACAGTTCACAAAAAAATGGCTTCAAATGGTTAGTGAACAAGAATCGCACACGGGGGGGTTTGGATTGTTAGCTGGTGATATGCAAAAACCTTGATCAAAGAGGCCAAATCTGTCTAAACCATAAATGAACAAGGTTCGAGAGGGGGCATCAATGTGGTCATAAAGGCTAAGAAGAAGACTGGACGTTAATTAATAGCAGGTTATGAAGATGTTGGCGGATTTTATTGAAGATATTAAAAGGAAATATAACAACTGTTAAATATGTTAAACATGTACCAAAAACTGACAAACTTGCATGGTTTTTGAATTTTTTAAAGATATATTTTAATATGTATTATCTGATTTATGAAGTATTTCTTATTCCAATTTTTTTATTACATTTTCTAAGGTTTATTTTACATTCCAGTACCTACCTACAAATAATTTCCCCCTTTTCTTAATTTTCTTTCCCCAAAGAAAATTAAAAAAAAACCCCTAGCTCCTTGAAAGGTTTCCCCATTCACCCTCAAATTTCATCAAACAATCTGTACGTACTTAAGCCCTTCCTGTCGCTCATTAAATACATTTTGTACAGTCCCAATTCAGTCCGATCCTAGCTATAAAAAACTCCCTAGCACAGAGAAAAATCGATAATTACTAATGTAACTAAATACAATTAAAAGAACAACCAAAAAAAGAAGGAAAAATTACACATACACATAGAAAGGATAGAAAATCGCGGACATTTTCATGCAGAGACAAATGAGCGGAAGGAAGAGCAACAAAAACAACAACAGAAGTTGAGTGGTGAGGGGATAAAAAAAAAAATCCGGGAAAAATGCGCTTACTTACAGCCCAGTTGGCAAATGGGCAACCCAGGATGCTGTCCCCCCCCAACCCTAACCATTTCCACACCCCGCTTGGACCGCCGCTGACTATCAAAGACAATGGCGGGCCCATTCAAGGGTTTAAAATTTCACCATTAGCATTTTTTTTTCCCCCCTCCCTCCTGTAACCAGAACGCCCCTCCTAGCCCCTCCTTTCCTCTACCATTTTTCTGTTCAGTAATTTCATTTCATTTACCATTTTTTTCCCTATCATCCTTATCTTCGACTTGATTATTTTTCCACATTTTCTTCTTTTTTTTTTTTGATGGTCGCATGCATTTGTCATTTGAAGTTTCTGAGAGGGGGAGTGGGGGGGAAGAATCGAATTCACAGCTTGATTAAATGCCCATTGAAGATGAATGGGAAATTTACAAGGCGAAAAGGCATCAATATTGTAACTGAAACTCAAACTCAAACTGAAACTGAAGTACATGTCACAATTTGTCTATATCCCCGATATCCGCCTCCCCCCGTCTCTCCCACCAACCAAGGGTTGAAGTTTTTCCAAACGAAGAACAGCAAAATAATTGCATGCAAATGAGCCACTGACGTGCCGCATGAAAATCAACATAATCCCGCTAAGAAAAAAAAAAGAAAAGTTGAGGGATGATACTACAAGGGGGGGCTTCTTTATGGTACTACTATGTAGGGAATATATCTATGAATTTGCATTTTAACATGTTTCCAATGAAAACTCTATGTTGCCCGCAACAATTTTAGGAAGTTTGTCGAAGAGAGCAATAATCTGTATTAGTAATTAGAAGTTTAGGATGTCTTTCTTAGAGAATTGAGCTTCAGGTTACGTTTCTATAACGTAACGTAACGTAACAAAATTTTCTTATAGAAGGACTTTTGTACGTTTAAATATTGGCAGTTAAAAACAGTTTTGGTTTTCTAAACTTTAAAGCCAAATTCATTAATTTCCAATAAAGAAAGAAATTAGGGAAAAGTATTTTCATTGCCACATCAGCAACTTCTACTTAAGATTTACCTTTAAAATCGAAATCAGATTTATAATTCTTACAGAATACTTTATCCAAGTGTCAACGAAACAATCATTTCCCCTTTTGAATAATTTCCTTCTTTTCAATCTATTCCAAAGATCTCTTTCTATTTCTAAAAACAAAAGTTACAAATTACACAGAATATTTTATGTAAATTCCAATAGAAAACAAAAAGCAACCCTTTGATAAATTTCTTAACCTACGAATTAACCCTTTTCTTGTTTTCTTTTCCATCAAAAAAAAAGACACACAAAAAATAAACATAAACAATAATAAATTCAGTGAACCACAAATCAATTTCAATCTTAGGAACCCGCTGA